CGACACTCCGCAGGCTGCTGGCAAAATCCGTGCTCGGGGTCGCAGCCCGCCTTGCAGATTGCTGAAACAACAACAACAGCAACAACTAGAACAACAGCAGCAACAACAACTACAACAACAACTACAGCAACAACTACAGCAACTACAGAAGCGACAACCACAGAAGCTACAACTACACTAACTACAACAACTACAGCAAAAACAACAACAGCAACAACTACAGCAACAACTACAGCAACAACAGCAACAGCTACAGCAAGAACAACAACTCCAACAACAGCAACAACTACAACAACTGCAACAGCAACAACTACTACAGCAACAACTACAGCAACAACTACAACAGAAACAACAACTACAGCAACAACTACAGCAACAACCACAACAACAACGACAGCAACTACAACAACAGTTCAAGTGTGTCGTTCACCCTCCACCACCCGACACAGCCAGTTCGTGTGTCACGTGAACAAAGCGTGCCAATTAGCGATCACTTCCGCACATCACAACGGAGTGGCAATATAATAACTAAATGCCACGTTTTGTTCACGTGGACTAAACCTTGCCAATTGGCCGTGTCGGGTGGTGATGGGTTAAGGGGGACCCCTTAGGGGGTCCCTCCGGAAAACCCCCGCCCACGCGAGCCCCCTTCCTATCCCCGAGCAGCGACGGTAGCCACGAGGCCGTGGGCCAGGCCCTCGACTACGATGAAGTCATCGTCCAAGCAGGTCAAGAGGTCAGCGCAGTCAGTACCACCGCTGCCACCACACCCCCGGCCATCGCTTCCTTCCGTCCCGCTATGGCCCCCACTGGGCACACTTTCACCGTCTCATCACCGACGTCGTCTGCCTCCACTCACTACACTCACACGGCCGGCCCGGTCACGTGCCCTCCTCCTGCACCCTGTCTCAGCGTGTCTCACCGTGTCTCAGCGTGTCTCAGCGTGTCTCAGCGTGTCCCACCGTGTCTCAGCGTGTCTCAGCGTGTCCCACCGTGTCTCAGCGTGTCCCACCATGTCCCACCGTGTCTCAGCGTGTGTCACCGTGTCCCACCGTGTCTCAACGTTGTCTCACCGTGTCCCACCGTGTCTCACCGTGTCTTAACGTGTCCCACCGTGTCTCAGCGTGTCTCACCGTGTCTCACCGTGTCTCACCTTGTCCCACCGTGTCTCAGCGTGTCCCACCGTGTCTCACCGTGTCCCACCATGTCCCACCGTGTCTCAGCGTGTGTCACCGTGTCCCACCGTGTCTCACCGTGTCCCACCGTGTCCCACCGTGTCTCAACGTTGTCTCACCGTGTCCCACCGTGTCTTAACGTGTCCCACCGTGTCTCAGCGTGTCTCACCGTGTCCCACCGTGTCTCAGCGTGTCCCACCGTGTCTCAGCGTGTCCCACCGTGTCCCACCGTGTCTCAGCGTGTCTCACCGTGTCCCACCGTGTCCCACCGTGTCTCACCATGTCCCACCGTGTCTCATCGTGTCCCACCGTGTCCCACCGTGTCCCACCGTGTCTCACCGTGTCCCACCGTGTCTCACCGTGTCCCACCGTGTCTCACCGTGTCTCAGCGTGTCCCACCGTGTCTCACCGTGTCCCACCGTGTCCCACCGTGTCTCACCGTGTCTCAGCGTGTCCCACCGTGTCTCACCGTGTCCTACCGTGTCCCACCGTGTCTCACCGTGTCCCACCGTGTCCCACCGTGTCTCACCGTGTCCCACCGTGTCCCACCGTGTCTCACCGTGTCCCACCGTGTCCCACCCTGTCCCACCGTGTCCCACCGTGTCTCACCGTGTCTCACCCTGTCCCACCGTGTCCCACCGTGTCCCACCGTGTCCCACCCACTATCGCAACCGCCACCTGATCACATGCACAGCACTTTCTACAAGCTATGTGCTGCAGTAATCTGAACTTCCTTCCACAAAGTTCCCTGCAACCTTTGCTTGCACTCTAGAGCCAAACTACATATTATTCTCTCACCTCCATCCGCACAACCTCAGCGGTGCTATGATTAAAAAAACGAATTGCGGAATAATGTTGCTATATTATGCAATATTTTGTTATCATTTTATATTATTACCAAGTACAGCTCCCCCTGAGCTATAACGTCTCTTTTTCAGAAGCGACCTGGCTATCACAAATGGTAGAGGTGGATTATCATCATCGTGTGGAAATTTAGAACAGCCAAATGCTCTAAACACGTAATGTTGATTCTAAATGTGGAGGGGGGAAAATCCGGAGGACCCGGAGACGAATCCACGCCACCACGGGGAGAGAGAGAGAGACGCAAACTCCAAATATACAGCAGCAGCAGGCGTCAGGGTCAGGATCGAACCCACGACCTCCTGTATACCTAGCGAGATAGTTAACATCTCACCACAGAGAGACACGTAAACTCCAAATATACAACAGCAGGGGTCAGGATCGAACCCACTACCTCTTGTATACCTGGCGAGGTAGTTAACATCTCACCACAGAAAGAGAGACACACGCAAACTCCAAATATACAGCAGCAGCAGGCGTCAGGGTCGGGATGAAACCCACGACCTCCTGCACACCAGGCGAGGGAGCTAACATCTCCCAGCCACCGTGATGATGATGATGAGAGAGACACAAACTCCAAATATACAGCAGCAGGCGTCAGTTTCGGGATGAAACCCACGACCTCCTGCACACCAGGCGAGGGAGCTAACATCTCCCAGCCACCGCGGCGGCCAGTCCCGGTCGAGGCCGCCCCAGACATTTGGTGGCTTCGTACGCGGGGAGACGCGCCAACCTCACCCTGGTCACACTCGGGCCCCATCCAGCCGTGCAGGCAGGCCTTGTTGCCCGCGGCGTCGCACGCGAAGTGCCCGAAGTGGTCGTCCCGCGGCCTGCAGAAGCGCGTGCAGGCGGCGCCGTGGTAGCGCTGCTGGCAGCGCACGCGCAGCTGGAAGACGATGGAGGCGGCCGTGCCCACGTGGCGCACCGTGCGCCACGTGGGGGAGCCCGCCGAGTCGGCGGCGAGCGGCGCCAGCGCCCCTCCGTAGACCACGCGCTCGATCAGCTCCGAGCCCGCGTCTGTGGCGACAATCGGAACAACGCGGAACGTCGTCATCGTCGTCGTCGTTCCCCGTCTTGTGCTCGTCGTCGTCCTCGTCGCGCGGCTGCTGCTGCTGCTGATGTCGACGCAGAGACCGCAACTGTGACGTCACACTCAGGTGGTAAAACCAGCAGACTACCACGTGACACTCAGGTGGTGAAGCCAGCAGATTACCACGTGACACTCAGGTGGTGAAGCCAGCAGACTACCACGTGACACTCAGGTGGTGAAGCCAGCAGACTACCACGTGACACTCAGGTGGTGAAGCCAGCAGACTACCACGTGACACTCAGGTGGTGAAGCCAGCAAACTACCACGTGACACTCAGGTGGTGAAGCCAGCAGACTACCACGTGACACTCAGGTGGTGAAACCAGCAGACTACCACGTGACACTCAGGAGGTGAAGCCAGCAGACTACCACGTGACACTCAGGTGGTGAAGCCAGCAAACTACCACGTGACACTCAGGTGGTGAAGCCAGCAGACTACCACGTGACACTCAGGTGGTGAAACCAGCAGACTACCACGTGACACTCAGGAGGTGAAGCCAGCAGACTACCACGTGACACTCAGGTGGTGAAGCCAGCAGACTACCACGTGACACTCAGGTGGTGAAGCCAGCAGACTACCACGTGACACTCAGGTGGTGAAGCCAGCAGACTACCACGTGACACCCAGGTGGTGAAGCCAGCAGACTACCACGTGACACTCAGGTGGTGAAGCCAGCAGACTACTGCGTCAGGAGCAGTAGCGGAGTCACGTGTCGTCGTCGTAGCTGTGATGATGTCTCCTTCGTATTTGTGGATTGGGAATTGCGTCGTCCCACGTTGTGTAGGTCTCTGTTCTGGATGGCCACAGTCGCACCGCTACTGCTGGAGAGTTTCACATTTCACATCGTCAGCTACCATCCGCAGCTACCGCTGCTATGGTTTGTGAAGTGGATGCGGTCCGGGGTGGACCAACGCGCCAGAATTTTTATTTATTTATTTAAACTGCAGGATGAATCCGATGAGCCGCGTAGCCCTTTTTGCCACACGTGTCCAGAATGGGGCACGGGGTCAGCGAGTTAAAATGATGAGACAAAAACAGGAATAAAAGTAAATACATGCTTTACCTTGCCGGCTAAAGCCCACTGAGGTGTTCAATTATCTTGCGGGAGTGACCTGGCCACAAATGATAGCTCAACAAAAGTGGCTCATCGTGTGGAAATGTACAGCGGCTAAATAATATAAATAATCTAAATAATCTGAATAATCTTAACGCACGTTCTAAAACGTCGAGGGAAACCCTCGGAGGACCCGGAGAAAAAAATCCACGTGACCACGGTGAGAGAGAGAGACACGGGGAGAGACACGGGGAGAGAGAGACACGGGGAGAGAGACACGGGGAGAGAGAGAGACGGGGAGAGAGAGAGACACGGGGAGAGAGAGACACAGGGAGAGAGAGAGACGGGGAGAGAGAGAGACACGGGGAGAGAGAGACACGGGGAGAGAGAGAGACACGGGGAGAGAGACACGGGGAGAGAGAGACACGGGGAGAGAGAGAGACACGGGGAGAGAGAGACACGGGGAGAGAGAGAGACACGGGGAGAGAGAGAGACACGGGGAGAGAGAGACACAGGGAGAGAGAGAGAGACGGGGAGAGAGAGAGACACGGGGAGAGAGAGACACGGGGAGAGAGAGAGACGGGGAGAGAGAGAGACACGGGGAGAGAGAGACACGGTGAGAGAGAGAGAGAGACACGGGGAGAGAGAGAGACACGGGGAGAGAGAGACACGGGGAGAGAGAGAGACACGGGGAGAGAGACATGGGGAGAGAGAGAGACACGGGGAGAGAGAGAGACACGGGGAGAGAGAGAGACACGGGGAGAGAGACACGGGGAGAGAGAGAGACACGGGGAGAAAGAGAGACACGGGGAGAGAGACACGCAAACTCCGAATATACAGCAGCAGCAGGCGTCGTCAGGGTCGTGATCCTGACAAAGGTCCCCCGTGTAGCCTTGACAAGGCTGTTGGGGCAAGTGCCGGGAGCGAGCAGCACCTACGAAGGCCAGAAACGGCGCACGACCGGGGTAGGTGGCCAACATTCACGCCAGCCCGGCCGCCTTTGTCTCCCTGGTGCTGATGTGTAGACACCGCACCGAGGCACTCGTTTGAGTCGACCTAGGGGAGGCCTCAGGACCGGTTCAGATAACCGTCCCTGGTGTTGGTGGCCCTGAGCGGGAATCGAACTCGGATCACCGGGTTCATTGGGCAGCGCGATCCCATCCCTCATGGCACCGCGCTGCTGCTGCCACCACGGGTGAGCCAGCGGTGACTCACTACTCACCACGGGTGAGCCGGCGGTGACTCACTACTCCCTACGGGTGAGCCAGCGGTGACTCACTACTCACTACGGGTGAGCCAGCGGTGACTCACTACTCACCACGGGTGAGCCAGCGGTGACTCACTACTCACCACGGGTGAGCCAGCGGTGACTCACTACTCACCACGGGTGAGCCAGCGGTGACTCACTACTCACTACGGGTGAGCCAGCGGTGACTCACTACTCACCACGGGTGAGCCAGCGGTGACTCACTACTCACTACTCACCACGGGTGAGCCAGCGGTGACTCACTACTCACCACGGGTGAGCCTGCGGTGGTTCATCTCTCAGCCTGTGTGTGTGCTATAGGCTATGCGGGGGATCTGTGTGTGTGCATCTCTCAGCCTGTGTGTGTGTGTGCTATAGGATATGCGGGGGATCTGTGTGTGTGCATCTCTCAGCCTGTGTGTGTGTGCTATAGGATATGCGGGGGATCTGTGTGTGTGCATCTCTCAGTCTGTGTGTGTGTGCTATAGGCTATGCGGGGGATCTGTGTGTGTGCATCTCTCAGCCTGTGTGTGTGTGCTATAGGCTATGCGGGGGATCTGTGTGTGTGCATCTCTCAGCCTGTGTGTGTGTGCGTGCCTCTGTGAACCCGGCGACCCAAATTCGATTCCCGCTCACGGCCAACACCAGTGATGCATATGTCTGAACCGGACCTGGGCTTCCCCTAGGTCGACTCAGCCTCAAAGGAGTACCTGGTGCAGTGTGTAAAAAAAAACATTGCCACTGGGGGAGACAAAGGCGGCCGGGAGAAGTGTTGGCCAAACCCACCCCCTCGCGTGTCGTGCCGGCCTTCATAGGCGCTGTTCGCTCACAGCACTTGCCCCAAAAGTATGCTGAGGCTATACGGGGGATCTTTGTCTTTGCGGTAGTGTAGTCGTGGTGGTGGTGGTGGTCAGCAGGCTGCGATGCATCTCAAAGGGGCCGGATATAAAGAGAGAGATAAACATGACTACACGCATCTATTTATATAGTGCACTGTGTGGGGGGGGGGGGGGGGATTGTGGCTGGTGGGAGAGCGGGGGGAGGGGTGTTGGGTAGAGGGGGGTCCCCGGGGGCCCCCCCCCCCCCACCACGTGGGGTCCACGCCCCGCGTAGGAAGGAAGCGACTTCTCCACTGAGCTGCACCGTTCGAGACCCCCCACCCCCACCACCCCTCCCACCTTTCCTGCTCGGAACTGCACGGCCTTCTGACTCGCCAATCACCACTCCCAGCAGCAGTAGCAGCACTAGCAGCAGTAGCAGCAGTAGCAGCAGCACTATCAGCAGTAGAAGCAGCACTATCAGCAGCACTAGCAGCAGCAGCAGAAGCAGCAGCAGCAGTAGAAGCAGCAGTAGCAGCACTAGCAGCAGTAGAAGCAGCAGTAACAGCAGTAGCAGCAGCACCACTCCCAGCAGCAGTAGCAGCACTAGCAGCAGTAGCAGCAGCAGTAGCAGCAGTAGCAGCAGCACTAGCAGCAGTAGAAGCAGCAGTAGCAGCACTAGCAGCAGTAGAAGCAGCAGTAACAGCAGTAGTAGCAGCACCACTCCCAGCAGCAGTAGCAGCACTAGCAGCAGTAGCAGCAGCAGTAGCAGCAGTAGCAGCAGCACTAACAGCAGTAGAAGCAGCACTATCAGCAGCACTAGCAGCAGCAGAAGCAGCAGCAGCAGTAGCAGCAGTAGAAGCAGCACTAGCAGCAGTAGCAGCAGCAGCAGTACCAGCAGTAGCAGCAGCAGTAGCAGCAGCACTAGCAGCAGCAGTAGCAGCACTAGCAGCAGTAGAAGCAGCAGTAGCAGCAGTAGCAGCAGCAGTAGAAGCAGCACTAGCAGCAGTAGAAGCAGCACTAGCAGCAGCAGTAGCAGCACTAGCAGCAGTAGCAGCAGTAGAAGCAGCAGCACTAGCAGCAGTAGAAGCAGCAGTAGCAGCAGTAGAAGCAGCAGCAGTAGTAGCAGCAGTAGTAGCAGCAGTAGAAGCAGCACTAGCAGCAGTAGCAGCAGCAGCAGTACCAGCAGTAGCAGCAGCAGTAGCAGCAGCACTAGCAGCAGCAGTAGCAGCACTAGCAGCAGTAGAAGCAGCAGCACTAGCAGCAGCAGTAGCAGCACTAGCAGCAGTAGAAGCAGTAGAAGCAGCAGTAGCAGCACTAGCAGCAGTAGAAGCAGCACTAGCAGCAGCAGCAGTAACAGCACTAGCAGCAGTAGAAGCAGCAGCACTAGCAGCAGCAGTAGCAGCACTAGCAGCAGTAGAAGCAGCAGCACTAGCAGCAGCAGTAGCAGCACTAGCAGCAGTAGAAGCAGTAGAAGCAGCAGTAGCAGCAGTAGCAGCAGCAGTAGTAGCAGCAGCAGTAGCAGCAGCAGTAGCAGCAGTAGCAGCAGCAGCAGTAGCAGCAGCAGTAGCAGCAGCAGTAGTAGCAGCACTAGCAGCAGCAGCAGTAGGATGAGCACCAACAGCAGCCACACCGCAGTGTTATTATCAGGGCGGTCCGCCGGGTTCCAACCGCGCACTCTTTGCAACCACGGGCGCTCTCCACGCTCGCTGGGGGGAGGAGCGACTCCGCCTTGGAGAGCCGCTCCTAGACGGGAGCCGCGCTGCTGAATCTGCTGCTGCTGCGGGTCGCTTATCTTCCTCTCTCTCTCCCTGAGAGGGCCTCTTAAGTGGCCGAGAGTGGCTGGAATTGGCTCCCCCCCCCCCAACGCCCCCTCCCCTTGGTCCCCAGCACCGCCGACGCGAGCGGCAGGCTCAGTCGCTGGAATTGGAATTTTGCCGGAACGAAAAAGATGCCCCCCCCACCCCCGCGTACACAAAGTTGGTCGGGTTTGCTGGTCGGTGGCTGGGAACGGCGCAGCAAGTAGGGAGAGTCGGTGAGTCTCACCACCACCCCCCACACCACCACCCCCCACCACCACCCCCCACACCACCACCCCCCACACCACCACCCCCCACACCACCACCCCCCACACCACCACCCCCCACACCACCACCACCCTCCACACCACCACCCCCCACACCACCACCCCCCACACCACCGCGCGTGTGCCCGCAGCCCTTCATCCGTGAGAACCACGTGACCTGGCCAGGAGCAGACTTGATGCCTCGTGGAAGGTATCCACAGCACGTGGCGTCTGAGCATCTGAACCGCCTCGTGTCTCGTTGCCACCAAGGCTAAAACAATGCACGCACTTTGGACGTTGATTACCGCGTGAATAACCCAGACGGTAATGAGCCCCCCATTGTAATTTGTGTGCATTCATTAACCCCCCCCCCACCCACTTCGTGAAGGACTCACAAGTGACGTCATCGCACCTACCCCTCTATTCAAGGAACGAAAGTGGAGGAGAGTTTCTCCACCAATCTGGCTGCTGTCCGCCTGATGATGCTAGTTGTAATTAGTGGCGAAACGTCGTACACCCAGACTGTAAACGTTGTGGCTTGGCTCTCCAACACACACCCGGTTGGTGCTGTACTGGTGACGAATTGGCCCACGTTCTGTTTACGTGACGAACCTTTACTAACTGGCCGTGTCGGGGTGGTGGCGGGTTTAACGACACATTTAAATATTTACGCGATCTAACCCAAAAAATGACAAATAAACCTGCAGTGTGTATTATAAACCTATGCTTACTTCTCACACGCTAAATCCTAGCAGAGGCACACGTCTCGAGCAGCACGTGGCAGGATGACGCGGTGGAGCGAGCCGAACTCCCCCGCCACTCCCCAGGCCTTCATCTGCACGCCGCCCAGCGCGCATCATCGTCAAACTCCCGGGTCGCGTTTCCTGGCGCTTGACGTCAGCCGCTTCCTGCCGCCGTTGCTGCTCGCGGGGCGATTGAATCATCGCCGCGAGAAACCTGCTGGCCGGCAACGTGTCCCGTTTCCATGGCGGGTGGAAACCGCACTTGCTCGGCGCTGGCAACACTGGGGGGGGAGGGGGGGGGAGTGGGGGGCTCTGCCCAACACCCCTGGGAGCCCCCCCTTCCACGGCTGCCCAGCCTGGCCAAACCGTGTCCCGATCACTGATCGATTTCCCCTTTTTTCCACCGGCACATCCGAGCCCGTGCCAGCGTGAAACCTCGCGGTACGGTTGGGTTTTTCCACCGCCGCATCCGAACCGTGCCAGCGCCGAACCCTCGCGGTACGGTTGGGTTTTTCCACCGACATCTGAAGCTGGCTCGCTGGGCCGAGCAGGGCCAGGGGCGTGCTCAATCATTTTCATCATACATACGCGGCTGAGTCAGTGGGCACGCGTGAACGCGTTACGCCGACATGGTTACCGCGTTCATCGGCGGCACGGCTCGGGTTCTGCAGTGGAAAAACACCGCCGACGCTTCCTGAGCCGCGCTGGGCTGGCTCTGCACGGCCCTGGCACCACGATTCAGATGTGCGGTGGAAAATAAAATAAAAAACAGGCTCACTTGTGTAACAGAAACGGCCCGGGTGTGGCTGCTAGGTCGGAGCGCTGAGCCAGCGTCGCCGACATCTTGGGTCTGAATGCAGGTTCTATCCGCTGTCTCATCCCCACTACAAGCGAGCATCAAAAACGAAAAACACCATCACGGTAAATTTTCTCCGGCACTTGATTTGGCTAAAATTCTAGCTCTGAGTGTGATCGCCGGATCGAGGTCAAATTGTGGGCAGTTACTCGTAATATTTAACTTGTAGAATTTAAAACAAACAACAAACGCATCAGGCCGCCCTGCTTGGGGTTATTTTGCCTGCGGCCAGCGCGGATTTCACGACACGGAGGAGACTGACGACGATGACGACGATGACGACTACGACGGTGATGGTGACAACGACAATGGCGACGACAATGATGATGATGACGACGACGGCGATGACGACGACGACGACGATGACGACGATGAGAGCGGCGATGATGACGATGACGACGACGTGATCACGATCGAGATGATGATGACGACGACGATAACGACGATGACAGCGGCGATGATGACGATGACGACGATGAGAGCGGCGATGATGACGATGACGATGACGACGTGATCACGATCGAGATGACGGTCACGACGACGATGACGACGATGAGAGCGGCGATGATGATGATCACGACGACGTGATCACGATCGAGATGACGATGACGACGACGATGACGACGATGAGAGCGGCGATAATGACGATGACGACGTGATCACGATCGAGATGACGGTCACGACCCTCGCCACGGAGAATCGAGCAATTCCGACGTGGAAACAACTTTCCGTTGGCGTTTTTTGCGCCGAAATTGCACCGCGGGGAACAAAGTGACGACGAGGAACAATGGGGGGGGGGGGGGGGCGGCTTTAAATAGCTGCACCCGGCACGCGCCCGCTCTCTCGTTTTGTCAAAAATAAAACTTCATCAAACAATTTTTTGCCGTTTCCCCCCCAAACCGCCGTGTTTCTTTTGTGTCTTCCCCTCCCACCCCCCCCCCCCCAAAAAAAAAATTCCGCTGCTGACCTTTCCGGCGTCACGAGGTTCCGCCCGGGAGCGGGCCCATCGCCGCGCGCGCCGGAGAGCGTCCCGCTGGAGTGGATGTCACGGAACTACTTCTGAGAATCCTTTCAAGTGCCGCCCCTTCTATTTAAACATTTTATTTTTATATCCCCACCGAGCTGGGCGGCGCGCTTTCGCCGGCACTGCCACGGTCCGAACCGATCTGGAACCTTGCCACGTTGATCAGAGTCATTGGTGACCGGCCTCAGTCCATCATCTTACTACCCTGTGCCCGCTCACCCTCGCCCTGTGCCCACTCACTCTCACCCCGTGCCCACTCACTCTCTCCCTGTGCCCGCTCACTCTCTCCCTGTGCCCACTCACTCTCACCCCGTGCCCACTCACTCTCTCCCTGTGCCCGCTCACTCTCGCCCTGTGCCCGCTCACTCTCTCCCCATGCCCGCTCACTCTCGCCCTGTGCCCACTCACTCTCACCCCGTGCCCGCTCACTCTCGCCCCGTGCCCGCTCACTCTCGCCCCGTGCCCGCTCACTCTCGCCCCGTGCCCGCTCACTCTCGCCCTGTGCCCGCTCACTCTCGCCCCGTGCCCGCTCACTCTCGCCCCGTGCCCGCTCACTCTCGCCCTGTGCCCGCTCACTCTCGCCCTGTGCCCGCTCACTCTCTCCCCGTGCCCGCTCACTCTCGCCCCGTGCCCGCTCACTCTCGCCCCGTGCCCGCTCACTCTCTCCCCGTGCCCGCTCACTCTCGGCCCGTGCCTGCTCACTCTCGGCCCGTGCCTGCTCACTCTCACCCTGTGCCGTGTCGTTGTCGTAGTCCCACGCCTCGAGGATGAGGGTGAAGGACGTCTGCGAAGAAGAAGACACGGGAGGGACAGGGACACGGAGTCGGCGTTAATAGAGCGAGCGTAGCGCCCGGCCGGTCGGGTCAGAGGTCGGCGCTCGCCGAGCCGGGCCGAGAGCTTCCCCCGCGGTGTGGGGCCGCTGCCCAACAGGCGTGGGGGGCCTGACCACGTCGAGCGAGCTGAGGGCCTCAAGGTCCCCGTCACCGATGGTTTCCGCGCTCAACCCTCTCCCGTTTCCGATGACGTACGCACGTGCACCATCGAGTTTTTCTCACGGTTCCGTTCTGATGACGTAGTGTATGTCGTCAGAACCAAACCGGAAGAAAAACTACAATTAAGTAAAATAACTTTATCGGCACCGAGGCCATGCGGGAGGGCGTGTGGCATAGTTTGGCGCCAGCCATCACAGAGTGCGGTGGTCATGTCGCTTGAGTTCTCTGGGGTGAGTAATGACGTCTTTAAAAACAGTGGCACTACGACGCCTCTCTAAGTAAAATTAACGCTGAACCCGAAAGGAGAAAAGTTAATTTGTCTAAATTCCAGCTCTGATAAATAAACATACAAAAAGTCTGGATTGACCGCCACATGATGAACTTTACCTCCCCCCCCACGTGGTGAAACAAGTTGTCACCATCAGGCATCTCAGAGGTAGCTCTGTGAGATCCACTTTCCATGGGCCGCTCTCTAACAGGGAGAGGTGGCACACCTTGACTGTACCGCGCTAGTTATTTGGGTGAAGAAAAACCGACGCCTCTTGAGTTGACAGATCCAGGAGGGGAGGGGATGAGGGGTGGGGAGGGTGGTGATGGGTGGTGAGGGCGGTGAGGGGAGGGTGGTGAGGGGTGGTGAGGGGAGGGGTGGTGAGGGGTGGGGCGGTGAGGGTGATCGTGGCTCTGAGCCACCTTAATTGGCTCCCCCATGGTTGTGCAGACTTCAATCAGCTCCCTCTCTCTCTCTCCCCTCTGTTTCCCCTCTCTCCCTGCCCCCGTCTCTCCCTCTCCTCCTCTCTCTCTTTTTTAACAGCTAACCTCGAGCTTTATTTAAACGATTCGCCGTCATCGCCCAACGCAACAATGAAAACGACGCCAAGCCTCCCAACAACCGCGATTGTACAAACAAAACGAGTCGCGAGACTCAAGTTAAAACCCATCAGCGCAAAAAAGATCGTTTCGAGGTCCACCTTGAGGAAGTCACCATGGGTTAAACATTAACGCAATCTAATAAAACTATTCAACTAAAGTTAATTTTCATTATTTTTTCGGGTAAAGCCCACTCGGCTATGTAGCTGCTCGCCATCGCAAACGATACCTCTCTCTCTCTCTAGGCTCTCTCCCCTCTCTCCCCTCTCTCTCCCCACTCTTTCTCTCTGCGTTTTCACTCCCGTGTATGTATACCGCTGTCGCACAGCGCGAAGGGCGCTCGGAGCGGCGACTCGTCCCCCACCCCCCGCCCGTTCACAACTCAGGGGCTTCGGAGGCAAGGGTTGGTGGATCACGCAGAGATCCGTGTCAAATTCCCGCACGCGGCCGGCACTGCGAGGTGTCCGCGGGACGGCGCTACTCCAGCAGTTACAGTACGGTTCGTAATTAATCCTTGGGTTAGGCCACGGTAACGAAGTGGACAGCAGTTGTGTCGTTAAGAACCCTCCACCGCCTTCCACCCCCGACCCTCCCACTCTTCCGATCCCCATCCCCTGCCTTGGTTAGAAGACGAACCTGCTACACCTTCACCTTTTCCCGTTTCCCGATGACGTACACGCATGTATACATGTACGTCATCGAGAAACGGGTTAACTAGCTCCTATATTCTTGGTTCTTTCGGTAAAGTCACGTTGAAGGGAAACAATAAAATAATAAAATATATATAAATGTTCTTGCCGTTGGTTTTCACACCTGATGATGACTGCTTGTGTTGCAGTCGAAACGTCGTGAGAATTTAATTGTTTTATATATTTTTTATTATTTTATTGTTTCCCTTCAACGTGACTTTACCGAAAGAACCAAGAATATGAATCACTGTAGTCACGAAAGCTTTAAATCCAAATTTAACTAGCTCCTGTTAAGAGATGATAGCCAATCCAGAGGGCAAATTCCCCATACATATTGATGTTGTCTACACGTTGGACTTCTTTCGTGCCGTACGCACGCAACCGTGCTGGTAGCTCTGCTGTGACTGTTGATTTGGGTTCAATAAAACATTTTCTTAAGACCTCCACCACCCGACGCGGCCGAACAAAACGAGCTTGTCGCGCGTGCAGGCGTTTAATGACGTGTAGCGTTAACGCTGCTGTTGTTGTCGTTGTTGTCGTTGTTGTTGTTGTCATCGTCGTTGTTGTTGTCGTCGTTGTTGTTGTCGTTGTTGTCATCGTCGTCGTCGTTATCGTTGTCGTCGTTGTTGTTGTCATCGTCGTCATTATCGTTGTCGTCGTTGGTGTTGTCGTTGTTATCATCGTCGTTGTTGTCGTTGTTGTCGTCGTCGTTATCGTTGTCGTCGTTGTTGTTGTCATCGTCGTCATTATCGTTGTCGTCGTTGTTGTTGTTGTCATCGTCGTCGTTGTCGTCATTGTTGTCGTCGTTGTTGTTGTCATCGTCGTCATTATCGTTGTTGTTGTCGTTGTTGTTATCATCGTCGTTGTTGTCATCGTCGTCGTTGTTGTTGTCGTTGTTGTCATTGTCGTCGTTGTTGTCGTCGTTGTTGTTGTCATCGTTGTTGTCGTCGTCGTTGTTTTTGTTGTTGTTGTTGTTGTCGTTGCGACAGCTCACTCACCACCGTCAAGCGTGAGATTCTCACGACCGAATTCAGCCGGCGGTGGTTGGATTCGCGTCGACCTGGGGCGCCACGGTGGCTATGAGATGTCGTCGACTACCTCGCCCGGTATGCAGGAGGTCGCGGGTTCGACCCAGCGGGCGTCAGGGTCCCGATCAAACCCACGACCTCCGGCACACCGGGCGAGGTGGTCGACATCTCCGAGCCACGGCGGCGAGGGGGCGGAGGGGGGGGGGGCCGGCGCGCCTCACCGGCCAGGCGAAGTCGAAGGGGATCGTCATCTTGCCGGCCCTGGACCGCCGACTCAGCTCGGCCGAGTCCCCCGCGAGGACGCGCGACGCCGCCGCGCCGTAGGCGCAGGGCCCCGGGGCCGCGGCGCCGTCCCGCCGCTCCAGGTACTCGCGCAGGCACGCGCGCAGGTACGTGTCGCACGCGTCCTGCCGCACACACGCACACACGCGCGCACACGCATGCACACGCAAACACATGTACACACACACATGCACACACGCACACAACACACACGCACACACACACACGCACAAACACGCACGCACACACACAAACACACACACACGCACGCACAAACACGCACGCACACAAACACATGCACACACGAACACGCACGCACACACACAAACACACACACATGCACGCACAAACACGCACGCACACACACGCACACACACACGCACGCACATGCACACACACACACATGCACACACAAACACACACGCACACACAAACACGCACACACACACGCACGCACACACACACACAAGCACACACACGCACACGTGAACGACCTATTTTTATTTGACCAGGTAAAGGCCCACTGAGCTGTTTCTCTCTTTCAGAAGCGACGCGGCGATCGCGAACGACAGCTCCACGAGGTGGCTCATGGTCACGTGGACAGCAGCAGCAGCAGCAGCCAAAGACTCTGAAACGCGTGGCGATGTCGATTCTCAATGCGGAGGGGGAAACCGGAGGACCCGGAGAATAATCCACGCGACCACGGGGAGAGAGACACCGCAAACTCCAAATGCACAGCAGGTGTCAGGGTCGGGATCGAACCTACAGCCTCCTGTATACCTGGCAATGTCATTAACATCTCTCCACCGTGCACATGCACACACGCACACGTGCACGCACACGTGCACGCACACATACAAGGACAATGATCGTCTGCGCAGCCTTAACAGGCTGTAAGGGCAAGTGCTGTTAGTAAGTAGCACCTACGAAGGCCGGCACGCCACACGAGGGGGTGGGTAGCCAGCACCACGCCCGGCCGCCTTTGTCTCCCCAGTGGCGATGTTTACACGCCGCACCAGGTACTCATTTGAGACCAAGTCGACCTTGCGGAGTGCCAGGACCGGTTCAGATAATCGTCACCGGCGTTGGAGTCCGTGAGCGGGAGTCGAACTGGGCGCCGGGTTTGCAGCAGAGCAGCGCAAACCGCTGCACCGCCGCTTCGTGCGACAGCTTTGGGGGTGACGGTCCGTGACCCCCCCCCCTGCTCCTGGGTGTCAGGGGTCACAGCGACCCCCCCGCTCCTGGGTGTCAGAGGTCACAGCGACCCCCCCCCGCTCCTGGGTGTCAGAGGTCACGGCGAGCCCCCCCCCTGCTCCTGGGTGTCAGGAGTCACAGCGACCTCCCCCCCCTCTGCTCCTGGGTGTCAGAGGTCACGGCGAGCCCCCCCCTCCTGCTCCTGGGTGTCAGGGGTCACAGCGAGCCCCCCCCCCCCTGCTCCTGGGTGTCAGAGGTCACGGCGAGCCCCCCCTGCTCCTGGGTGTTAGAGGTCACGGCGAGCCCCCCCTGCTCCTGGGTGTCAGAGGTCACGGCGAGCCCCCCCTGCTCCTGGGTGTCAGAGGTCACGGCGAGCCCCCCTCCCCCCCCCCCCTCACCTGGCAGCGCGCCCCTTCCCGCGGCTCCCCGCGAGCCCCGTCGCAGCAGCGGCCCGTGGCGAGCTGCCCGCGCGGGTTCCGCAGCGACAGCAGCCGCACCTCGAAGTTCCCGGCGGGCTCAGCGAGCTGCGCGGGGTGACACGCGCAAGACATCACGACGACGACGACGTGGTGGTGGTGATGATGATCACACGCAGAGGCCGCCCACCTCTTCCTCCTCGTGCCCCCCCCCCCCCCAGGATGCCCCCCTTGATCGGGTCAATGCCACGGCTACGGCTGCTGGGTGTATCACTCTCCTGCTGCCCTTTCCATCGCTGCCCTTCACCGAGGTCATCGTCGAGCCCCTGCCCCGGTGCCGGGGTGCCCCCAGTGGGGTGCGGGCGGTGAACTTCCATCGCGCCGGACGTCGCCAACCGCGGGAGGTGCGGGAAACGACTTCCCTGTTCTGTGTTCCTCCTCCTCCCTCACCACCCCCTCCTCCTCCTCACTCACCACCCCTCCTCCTCCTCCCTCACCACCCCCTCCTCCTCCTCCCTCACCACCCCCTCCTACTCCCTCACCACCTCCTCCTCCCACCCTGCCCCCTCCTCCTCCTCCCTCACCACCCCTCCTCCTCCCTCACCACCCCTCCTCCTCCCTCACCACCTCCTCCCTCACCACCTCCTCCTCCCACCCTGCCCCCTCCTCCTCCTCCCTCACCACCCCTCCTCCCTCACCACCCCTCCTCCTCCCTCACCCCCCCTCCTCCCTCACCACCCCTCCTCCCTCACCACCCCTCCTCCTCCCTCACCACCCCCTCCTCCCTCACCACCCCTCCTCCTCCCTCACCACCCCCTCCTCCTCCTCCCTCACCACCCCTCCTCCCTCACCACCCCTCCTCCTCCTCCCTCACCACCTCCTCCTCCCTCACCACCCCCTCCTCCTCCTCCCTCACCACCCCCTCCTCCTCCTCCCTCACCACCCCTCCTCCCTCACCACCCCTCCTCCTCCTCCCTCACCACCTCCTCCTCCCTCACCACCCCCTCCTCCTCCTCCCTCACCACCCCCTCCTCCTCCCACCCAGCCCCCCACTCCGCTACTTCCTCCCACCCTGCCCCCCACTCCGCTCTGCTCCCCTATACTGGACGCACCCCACAGCTGTTGCTATAAATAGCGAGGGAGACTCTGACCATCAGGACCCCCGCGATACGGCGACACTACCGCGATATATATCGTACGATATTAGGTCGTCATATCGTAATAATCATATCGTCATATCATGATCATCATATCGTCATATCGTGATGATCATATCGTCATGTCGTGATCATCACATCGTCATATCGTTAGCGTCATATCGTAATAATCATATCGTCATATCGTGATGATCATATCGTCATGTCGTGATCATCACATCGTCATATCGTTAGCGTCATATCGTAATAATCATATCGTCATATCGTGATGATCATATCGTGATGATCATATCGTCATGTCGTGATCATCTATTAGCTAAAATTGAAAACGAATTTCTGTAGAACTGCTTCTTGTTTTTGTGTCGTTGTTGTGTTGTTGTTGTGTTGTTGTGTTGTTGTTGTGTTTCATTTGTTGTCCTTCTCCCGCACCTCCAATTAGCGCGGTTGGCAACGTACGGTGCGAAAAAAGGGCAACAGACATACATGCAACATACATGCAACATACATATATGCAAATTGCATGCATAATAGATATTTGCAAAAAACATACAACATACATATATTAAAAAAAACACGCAACATACATATATGCAAAAAACATGCAACATATATATGCACCATCCTGCCAAAGTAAATTCCGTGTCGGTGTGAACTTTCATGGCGAATAAAACCCTTTCTGTTCTGATCTGCAACATACATATATATGCAAAATACATGCAGCATGCATATATGCAAAACTATATACAACATATATATGTAAGAATATATGCAACATGCATATATGCAAACATACATGTAACGTACATATATGCAAACATACATGTAACGTACATATATGCAAACATACATGCAACATACATATATGCAAACACACATGCAACATATATATGCAGAAATACATGCAACATACATATATGCAAACATACAGGCAACATGCATATATGCAAACATACATGCAACATACGTGATCATCGTCGTGCCTCGTCTACAGTTTTAAATTGATGACCTGGTGCGGTGTGTAGTAAACATCGCCACTGGGAGACAAAGGCGGTCGGGCGTGGTGCTGGCCACCCACCCCCTCGTGTGCCACAGTGCCGGTAGCCTTCCCAGGTGCTGCTGCTACTCGCTAACGGCACTTGCCCCTACAGGGGGATCTTTGTTTTTGTGTCCTCAAACAACAAAAATGTCTCATAGGCGACGTTTCGGGCAACGGCCCTGCTTCAGAACACATCAATCATTCACAGTCTCGATACAGTACAAATCCATTATCCATTGATAACCATTCGTGGTTTGCTTCATGTCATTTTCTGCTTGTTACGCCGGGAGTACATTAGTCATGTCTCTGCCATCGTCTGCGTGTGTGTGTGTATATGGGTGTGTGGATGGGTGTGTGTGTGGGTGCGTGTGTGAGTGTATGGGTGTGTGTGTGGGTGTGTGTGTGTATATGGGTGTGTGTGTGTGTTATGGGTGTGTGTGCGCGTGTGTTATGGGTGTGTGTGCGCGTGCCCTAGCTCCTGTAACAACAATCAAGGATCACCTTTGCTCGCCCAACTCAAGATACCTGGGCGCACGCGTCCCACGCGACTGCCTTCGTGTCGCTGAGCGATTCGCGTCGGGAACAGAGAGAGAGGCTGCGCCGAGATCGACGCGACAGTGTCCGTGCTTGTGTCTCCATCGTGGTGTTCTTCTATTCACTGCTGGATGAAGATTACTGCGCGATGTCTCTAACCTGCTCGTGTTCTCTCATCCAAGGGTTCCTCTTCCGGTCTCCCATGCTTTCATCATGGTGAGGTTCTATTCACTTCTGGATGTAGAGCGACATTCTCTATCCACTGCAGGATGGAGATTATCATGTTTTATCTACTGCTGGATAGGGATCACAGTGTTTTATCTACTGTTGGATAGAGACCAATATAATGTCACTAACTTGTGTTGGGTCTCTAATCCATGTGTCCTAATCTCCGTCTCTCAATGTAACGTTCAAGTACACGCCTGCGCTACCTGCCCACTCGCTCCCTGACGTCCCCCTTCCTCCCCGCCTCCTCGACCACTCCGTGACCTCCCCTCCCCTCCCCTCGCCCCCTCCCACTCAACCCTTCCTGCTCCTCCTCTGCTAAACCCCCTCCTCCATCCCGCTCGCCCCGGTCTGAGCGCGGCCAAGCCGGTATTACCGAGGACATCGCCGGATCACGGGGATCACAGAGGCCTCGGGCGCAGTTGCCACGGCGTCTGGGGTCGAGCACGCCACGGTGGCTAGGAGACGTTAACTACCTCGCCTGGTGTACAGGAGGTCGTGGGTTCCATCCTGACCTTGACGCCTGCTGCTGTATACAGTGAGGGAAAAAAGTATTTGATCCCCTGCTGATTTTGTACGTTTGCCCACTGACAAAGAAATTATCAGTCTAGAATTTTTATGGTAGGTTTATTTGAACAGTGAGAGACAGAATAACAACAACAAAATCCAGAAAAACGCATGTCAAAAATGTTATAAATTGATTCGCATTTTAATGAGGGAAATAACTATTTGACCCCCTCTCAATCAGAAAGATTTCTGGCTCCCATGTGTCTTTTATACAGGTAACGAGCTGAGATTAGGAGCACACTCTTAAAGGGAGTGCTCCTAATCTCAGCTTGTTACCTGTATAAAAGACACCTGTCCACAGAAGCAATCAATCAGATTCCAAACTCTCCACCATGGCCAAGACCAAAGAGCTCTTCAAGGATGTCAGGGACAAGATTGTAGACCTACACAACGCTGGAATGGGCTACAAGACCATTGCCAAGCAGCTTGGTGAGAATGTGACAACAGTTAGTGCAGAAAAACGCATGTCAAAAATGTTATAAATTGATTTGCATTTTAATGAGGGAAATAAGTATTTGACCCCTCTGCAAAACATGACTTAGTACTTGGTGGCAAAACCCTTGTTGGCAATCACAGAGGTCAGACGTTTCTTGTAGTTGGCCACCAGATTTGCACACATCTCAGGAGGGATTGTGTCCCACTCCTTTTTGCAGATCTTCTCCAAGTCATTAAGGTTTCGAGGCTGACGTTTCGCAACTCGAACCTTCAGCTCCCTCCACAGATCTTCTATGGGATTAAAGTCTGGAGACTGGCTAGGCCACTCCAGGACCTTAATGTGCTTCTTGTTGAGCCACTCCTTTGTTGCCTTGGCCGTGTGTTTTGGGTCATTGTCATGCTGGAATACCCATCCACGACCCATTTTCAATGCCCTGGCTGAGGGAAGGAGGTTCTCACCCAAGATTTGATGGTACATGGCCCCGTCCATCGTCCCTTTGATGCGGTGAAGTTGTCCTGTCCCCTTAGCAGAAAAACACCCCCAAAGCATAATGTTTTCACCTCCATGTTTGACGGTGGGGATGGTGTTCTTGGGGTCATAGGCAGCATTCCTCCTCCTCCAAACACGGCGAGTTGAGTTGATGCCAAAGAGCTCCATTTTGGTCTCATCTGACCACAACACTTTCACCCAGTTGTCCTCTGAATCATTCAGATATTCATTGGCAAACTTCAGACCGGCATGTATATGTGCTTTCTTGAGCAGGGGGACTTTGGGGGCGCTGCAGAATTTCAGTCCTTCACGGCGTAGTGTGTTACCAATTGTTTTCTTAGTGACTATGGTCCCAGCTGCCTTGAGATCATTGACAAGATCCTCCCGTGTAGTTCTGGGCTGATTTCTCACCGTTCTCATGATCATTGCAACTCCACGAGGTGAGGTCTTGCATGGAACCCCAGGCCGAGGGAGATTGACAGTTCTTTTGTGTTTCCTCCATTTGCGAATAATCGCACCAACTGCTGTCACCTTCTCACCAAGCTGCTTGGCAATGGTCTTGTAGCCCATTCCAGCCTTGTGTAGATCTACAATCTTGCCCCTGACATCCTTGGAGAGCTCTTTGGTCTTGGCCATGGTGGAGAGTTTGGAATCTGATTGATTTATTGCTTCTGTGGACAGGTGTCTTTTATACAGGTAACAAGCTGAGATTAGGAGCACTCCCTTTAAGAGTGTGCTCCTAATCTCAGCTCGTTACCTGTATAAAAGACACCTGGGAGCCAGAAATCTTTCTGATTGAGAGGGGGTCAAATAGGTATTTCCCTCATTAAAATGCAAATCAATTTATAACATTTTTGACATGCGTTTTTCTGGATTTTGTTGTTGTTATTCTGTCTCTCACTGTTCAAATAAACCTACCATTAAAATTATAGACATCATTTCTTTGTCAGTGGGCAAACGTACAAAATCAGCAGGGGATCAAATACTTTTTTCCCTCACTGTATTTTGAGTTTGCGTCTCTCTCATCATCATCATCACGGTGGCTAGGAGATGTTAACTATCTCGCCCGGTATACAGGAGGTCGTGTGTTCCATCCCTGACCCTGACGCCTGCTGCTACTGCTACTGCTGCTGCATACTGCTGCTGTATACTGCTGCTGCTACTGCTGCTACTGCTGTATACTGCTGCTGCTGCTACTGCTGCTACTGCTGCTGCTGTATACTGCTGCTGCTGCTACTGCTGCTACTGCTGCTGCTGTATATTTGGAGTTTGCGTGTCTCACGCAGTGGTCGCGTGGATTTATCTCCGGGTCCCCGCGCTTTTGGAGTATTTGGCTGCTGCTATAGATGTCCAGTACGGGTGCTGTAGGTGACGTCAGTACGGGTGCTGTAGGTGACGTCAGTACGGGTGCTGTAGGTGACGTCAGTACGGGTGCTGTAGGTGCGGGTGGCGTCAGTACGGGTGCTGTAGGTGACGTCAGTACGGGTGCTGTAGGTGCGGGTGACGTCAGTACGGGTACTGTAGGTGCGGGTGACGTCAGTACAGGTGCTGTAGGCGACGTCAGTAGTGTGCTGTAGGTGTAGGTGACGTCAGCCCAGGTTCTGTCGGTGTAGGTGACCTCACCTGCAGTCGCGCGCACAGCACCACCGCCCAGAGCCACGTGACGATGCGGGGGCCGAGAGCCGCGCCTCCCCGCCTCGGCCGAGCGGCCACGGGGCTCCCATCGGGGTCCCCGTGGCAGGAGGAGGAGGGGTCCCTGTAGACGGAGGAGGGGTCCCTGCAGGAAGAGGAGGGGTCCCTGTAGACGGAGGAGGAGTCTTTGTAGACGGAGGGGTCCCTGTAGACGGAGGGGTCCCTGTAGACGGAGGGGTCCCTGTAGACGGAGGGGTCCCTGTAGACGGAGGGGTCCCTGCAGGAAGAGGAGGGGTCCCTGTAGACGGAGGGGTCCCTGTAGACGGAGGGGTCCCTGTAGATGGAGGGGTCCCTGCAGGAGGAGGGGTCCCTGTAGACGGAGGGGTCCCTGCAGGAGGAGGGGTCCCTGTAGACGGAGGGGTCCCTGCAGGAGGAGGGGTCCCTGTAGACGGAGGGGTCCCTGCAGGAGGAGGGGTCCCTGCAGGAGGAGGGGTCCCTGTAGACGGAGGGGTCCCTGCAGGAGGAGGGGTCCCTGTAGACGGAGGGGTCCCTGCAGGCTGCCTGTAGCTTCCTCGGTTCCTCGAGGTCCCGTGCGCGCTGGGGGTCGCCGCCGTCCAGCGCGACCCTTCTGGGGGGCGAGGGGACCCCCACCCACCACCACTGCCCACGTGGTCGCCCCGGGGCACCCAGGGTCCTCTGCCGGGGTCCACTTCTGGGGGTCGCCGGTGCCGTGGGGGGCACCCCCGTGCCGATCAACGGTGCCTCCTCCTCCACCACCTCCTCCACCTCCTCACTCCGAGTGACCATCGGCGCAGACATCATCAGATCAGCAAGCGCGATCCGTTTGGCTGACAGTGGTGCCTTTGCTCCATGAGCACTTGCAGCAGCTGCACTTTCAGCAGCACTAGCAGCAGCAGTACTTGCAGTAGCACTAGCAGCAGCAGTACTTGCAGTAGCAGCACTAGCAGCAGCAGCACTTGCAGCAGCAGCACTAGCAGCAGCACTAGCAGCAGCAGCAGCAGTACTTTCAGCAGCACTAGCAGTACTTGCAGTAGCACTAGCAGCAGCAGCAGCACTTGCAGCAGCACTCACAGCAGCAGTACTAGCATCAGTTAATAGTATTACAGCCACCAGCAATAATAGCAGTGCGACATTTTAGGGGAGGCAATAGGATCAATGGATTCACCAAAACCAGCTAAATGAGCACCCCCACCACGAGTAGTAGCAGCAGTGACGATGTCAATAGAGTCCAGCAGCAGCCAGCAGCAGCAGCAGATGACAACTCAGTGGTGGAACAGGCTATAGCTGCAGCATCGTGCTTGTCATACTCAATAGTTCAATCAGCACCAACAGCATTAAGAGCCACAGCTAACCCAGCAGCAGCATCAGATCCACAACTAACCCAGCACTATAATCAGATCCACAGCAGCATCATCAGATCCACAGCTAACCCAGCATCATCATCAGAGCCACAGCTGCATCATCAGATCCACAGCTGATCCAGCAGCAGCAGATCCACAGCTAACCCAGCAGCAGCAGATCCACATCTAACCCAGCAGCAGCAGATCCACAGCTAATCCAGCAGCAGCAGATCCACAGCTAATCCAGCAGCAGCAGCAGATCCACAGCTAATCCAGCAGCAGCAGATCCACAGCTAACCCAGCAGCAGCAGATCCACAGCTAACCCAGCAGCAGCAGCAGCAGGCTGTTGTTGTGGTTGTGCGTCTCTGTAGTCGCCCCGACTGAGCCCGGATCTCACCGGGACTCGCCCACTGCCTGCAGCAGGGACACGCCCCGCCCCTCCCCCTAGCGGGGGGCACGGCCCGGGGGGGGGGGTGAGGTAATTGATCTGATGAACAGCGATACAACAATGGGGGCTATGGGTCTCGATGTAAGTCTACGGGTCTCTCTGTAAGTGTGTGGGTCTCTATGTAAGTCTATGGGTCTCTCTGTAAGTGTGTGGGTCTCCATGTGGGTCTATGGGTTTCTATGTGGGTCTATGGGTCTCTGTATGTGTGTGTGGGTCTCGATGTGGGTCTATGGGTCTGTGTGTGTGTGTGTGGGTCTCGATGTGGGTCTATGGATCTCTGTGTGTATGTGGGTCTCGATGTGGGTCTATGGGTCTCTGTGTGTGTGTGTGGGTCTCGATGTGGGTCTATGGGTCTCTGTGTGTGTGTGTGTGGGTCTCGATGTGGGTTTATGGATCTCTGTGTGTGTAGGTGGGTCTCGATGTGGGTCTATGGGTCTCTGTGTGTGTGTGTGGGTCTCGATGTGGGTCTATGGGTCTGTGTGTGTGTGTGGGTCTCGATGTGGGTCTATGGGTCTCTGTGTGTGTGTGTGGGTCTCGATGTGGGTCTATGGGTCTGTGTGTGTGTGTGTGGGTCTCGATGTGGGTCTATGAGTCTCTGTATGTGTGTGTGGGTCTCGATGTGGCTCTATGGGTCTCTGTGTGTGTGGATCTCGATGTGGGTCTATGGGTCTCTGTGTGTGTGTGGGTCTCGATGTGGGTCTATGGATCTCTGTGTGTGTATGTGGGTCTCGATGTGGGTCTATGGGTCTCTGTGTGTGTGTGTGGGTCTCGATGTGGGTCTATGGGTCTGTGTGTGTGTGTGGGTCTCGATGTGGGTCTATGGGTCTCTGTGTGTGTGTGTGAGTCTCGATGTGGGTCTATGGGTCTCTGTGTGTGTGTGTGGGTCTCGATGTGGGTCTATGGGTCTGTGTGTGTGTGTGGGTCTCGATGTGGGTCTATGGGTCTCTGTGTGTGTGTGAGTCTCGATGTGGGTCTATGGGTCTGTGTGTGTGTGTGGGTCTCTATGTGGGTCTATGGGTCTGTGTGTGTGTGTGTGGGTCTCGATGTGGGTCTATGGGTCTGTGTGAGTGTGTGTGGGTCTCGATGTGGGTCTATGAGTCTCTGTGTGTGTGTGGGTCTCGATATGGGTCTATGAGTCTCTGTGCGAGTCATCATAAGGTGTTCTGCATTGTGCGGTCTAAATGTGGATGGCCATGGTGATGTAGGTGATGTAGGTGATGGTGATGTAGGTGATGTAGGTGATGTAGGTGATGGTGATGTAGGTGATGGTGATGTAGGTGATGGTGATGTAGGTGATGGTGATGGTGATGTAGGTGATGGTGATGTAGGTGATGGTGATGTAGGTGATGTAGGTGATGTGGGCGATGGTGATGTAGGTGATGTAGGTGATGTGGGCGATATTGGCGATGTAGGTGATGGTGATGGTGATGTAGGCGATGTAGGTGATGGTGATGTAGGTGATGGTGATGTAGGTGATGTAGGTGATGGTGATGTAGGTGATGTAGGCGATGTAGGTGATGGTGATGTAGGTGATGGTGATGTAGGCGATGTAGGTGATGGTGATGTAGGCGATGTAGGCGATGTAGGTGATGGTGATGTAGGCGATGTAGGTGATGGTGATGTAGGCGATGTAGGCGATGTAGGTGATGTAGGTGATGTTGATGTAGGCGATGTAGGTGATGGTGATGTAGGCGATGTAGGTCATGTAGGTGATGTAGGTGATGATGATTCAGGAGACTACGATCAGTATCACGTGGATGACGCCCGGTCCCATCGGAGCTCGCGAGCCGAGTTGCAGGGTTGGTGGTGGCGAGCCGCAGGCGACCGCTCTTTGGCTGCCCCGTTGAGGCTCTTTGGCTGCCCCCTTGAGGCTCTTTGGCTGCCCCCTTGAGGCTCTTTGGCTGCCCCCTTGTGACTCTTTGGCTGCCCCCTTGTGGCTCGTTGTCTGCCCCCTTGTGACTCTTTGGCTGCCCCCTTGCGACTCTTTGGCTGCCCCCTTGCGACTCTTTGGCTGCCCCCTTGAGGCTCTTTGGCTGCCCCCTTGAGACTCTTTGGCTGCCCCCTTGAGGCTCTTTGTCTGCCCCCTTGTGACTCTTTGGCTGCCCCCTTGAGGCTCTTTGTCTGCCCCTTGTGACTCTTTGGCTGCCCCCTTGAGGCTCTTTGGCTGCCCCCTTGAGACTCTTTGGCTGCCCCCTTGAGGCTCTTTGGCTGCCCCCTTGCGACTCTTTGGCTGCCCCCTTGTGACTCTTTGGCTGCCCCCTTGCGGGCAGCCGTTTGTTTAAACACGTAAAGATAATACTGTAATTGATGAAGTTTTGCAGGGAATGGGGTGTCACTGTGGATTGTCTTGATGATGACAACATGTACACCAGTCAAACTGTGGTGTTGTTGTTGTTACAGAGTAACTAAGAGGGGACACAAATTAAATAGACGCAAGTTTATTCCAGTCAGAATGTGTGTTGTCGTCATCTGCTGTATACCCGCTGCTGTGTCTGTGTACAAGTCGCTCGCTCGCTCTCTCTCTCAGTCTCTCTGATTGCGATGCTGCGGCTTTCCAATGATTTTGGTCAAAGTCAACAAACAAAAAGAATCGCTCCAGCCCCATCTCGTCTCGACCTCTGCGATCACTCTCCCAGCTGTTGTCTCTCTGTTCACTCTCCCAGCTGTTGTCTCTCTGTTCACTCTCCCAGCTGGTGTCTCTCTGTTCACTCTCCCAGCTGTTGTCTCTCTGTTCACTCTCCCAGCTGTTGTCTCTCTGTTCACTCTCCCAGCTGCTGTCTCTCTGTTCACTCTCCCAGCTGTTGTCTCTGTTCACTCTCCCAGCTGTTGTCTCTCTGTTCACTCTCCCAGCTGTTGTCTCTCTGTCCACTCTCCCAGCTGTTGTCTCTCTGTCCCAGCTGTTGTCTCTCTGTTCACTCTCCCAGCTGTTGTCTCTCTGTTCACTCTCCCAGCTGCTGTCTCTCTGTTCACTCTCCCAGCTGCTGTCTCTCTGTTCACTCCTCAGCTGTTGTCTCTCTGTTCACTCTCCCAGCTGTTGTCTCTCTGTTCACTCTCCCAGCTGTTGTCTCTCTGTTCACTCTCCCAGCTGTTGTCTCTCTGTTCACTCTCCAGCTGCTGTCTCTCTGTTCACTCCCCAGCTGTTGTCTCTCTGTTCACTCTCCCAGCTGTTGTCTCTCTGTTCACTCTCCCAGCTGTTGTCTCTCTGTTCACTCCCCAGCTGTTGTCTCTCTGTTCACTCTCCCAGCTGTTGTCTCTCTGTTCACTCTCCCAGCTGTTGTCTCTCTGTTCACTCTCCCAGCTGTTGTCTCTCTGTCTCTCTGTTCACTCTCCCAGCTGTTGTCTCTCTGTTCACTCTCCCAGCTGTTGTCTCTCTGTCTCTCTGTTCACTCTCCCAGCTGTTGTCTCTCTGTTCACTCTCCCAGCTGTTGTCTCTCTGTTCACTCTCACAGCTGTTGTCTCTCTGTTCACTCTCCAGCTGCTGTCTCTCTGTTCACACTCACAACTGCTGTCTCTCTGTTCACTCTCCCAGCTGTTGTCTCTTTGTTCACTCTCCCAGCTGCTGTCTCTCTGTTCACTCTCCCAGCTGTTGTCTCTCTGTTCACTCTCCCAGCTGCTGTCTCTCTGTTCACTCTCCCAGCTGTTGTCTCTCTGTTCACTCTCCCAGCTGTTGTCTCTCTGTTCACTCTCCCAGCTGTTGTCTCTCTGTTCACTCTCCCAGCTGTTGTCTCTCTGTTCACTCTCCCAGCTGTTGTCTCTCTGTTCACTCTCCCAGCTGTTGTCTCTCTGTTCACTCTCCCAGCTGTTGTCTCTCTGTCCACTCTCCCTGCTGTTGTCTCTCTGTTTACTCTCCCAGCTGCTGTCTCTCTGTCCACTCTCCCTGCTGTTGTCTCTCTGTTTACTCTCCCAGCTGCTGTCTCTCTGTTCACTCTCCCAGCTGTTGTCTCTCTGTTCACTCTCCCAGCTGTTGTCTCTCTGTTCACTCTCCCAGCTGCTGTCTCTCTGTTCACTCTCCCAGCTGTTGTCTCTGTTCACTCTCCCAGCTGTTGTCTCTCTGTCCCAGCTGTTGTCTCTCTGTTCACTCTCCAGCTGTTGTCTCTCTGTTCACTCTCCCAGCTGTTGTCTCTCTGTTCACTCTCCCAGCTGTTGTCTCTCTGTCCCAGCTGTTGTCTCTCT